GGGAAAGAGGCCGAGAAATGGACCCACATTTCTGCTGGAGCAGCCAGCCTAGGGACAGCTGTTCTGGTCTCCATGGATGGCTCCTGCCTTCTGGGGCAAGAGAGGGGGCTCTGGGAGGCCTCTCAGCACCTGCTTCCTGGCTCAGCCACACCCTACTGCCAAGACCTGGCCTCCTTCCCTGCCGGAGGATCAGGAAGGGATGGTCAGGTGCCTCCATGGAGGGCCAGGTATGGCCTTGTCTGGCTCACCACAGGGTCCCAGAGTCAGCCAGGACCCCTGCGTGGCTGCCACAACTACTGCAGAACCTTGCAGAACTCGTCCTCCATTAAAGACTGCCCGGACAGGGCCGGAGACACAAGAAGGTAGAGCCCGCGGCTCTCCTGGAGAGGCTTCTGGGAGAAGCAGTGGTCACCTGTTCCCATCCAGTCTTCCCTCTGGGCCTGGGGCATGCCGGGTCTGCCTCATAGCCAGGCAGTGGGACTCGGGCAGGCGCTGGTATCAAGTGGGCTGCCCAGCGGCCCTCCCAGGCCTTCCTGGGTCACCGTGTGTGTCTCGAACACACAAAAGCTTGTTTCCATGCTGCCCTGCCTTAAAGCTGTCCTAATCCACATCTCTCCCGGCACACCCTATTTATAGCTCCGCTGGCACGTGCAGAGCCGCCTGGGAATCTGTTCTACAAGCCCCGAGCCCTCCCATTACCAAGGAGGCAGCGGTGCGTGGGGGGAGTGGGCTGGGCCCGGCAGCAGGTCTGAGGGTCACCAGGTGGAGGTGACTGTTGGAAAGATCAGACAGCCAGGCAGGTGGGTAGGAGGAATGGAAGGAAGATGAGATCACAGAGCGGCCAGACACTGCTGGGGGGGGGGGGTTGCGTCTAGCTGCCAAGGAGCCCCTGCCCGCCCTACGCCACCCAGAACTGGGTCCTCGGCCGCAGTGCCCAGCGCCGGGTGTGGCATGGCTCTGGCTCTGCCCTGGCTAGGCTGGTGGGATCGGCCGGCAGGTTCTGAGCCCACCCCACCCTGTCCTGCACAGATCTCCGCTTGCAGCTGCTGGACGTGAAGAACAACCCGTACCTGATCAAGGCCCTCTACGGGCTGCTCATGCTGCTGCCGCAGAGCAGTGCCTTCCAGCTGCTGTCCCACCGGCTGCAGTGCGTGCCCAACCCCGAGCTGCTGCAGACAGAGTGAGTGCCAGCCCAGGCCTCCCTGCCTCCCTGTCCCAGCCCTGTGGTCTCTGCGGCCCATCCCCCAACAGCCACTTGCGATTCGGCCTCTCATTTCCAGCCAAGAGCAGCGGGTGGCATCCTGGGCATGTGCACCAGGTGGGAGCCAGGAGCAGCACCTTCCCAGACCAGTAGGGCTGAGCTCAGAGCGCAGCCGGCCAGGACTCCACCTGGAAACTCGGAGGGCGGCCCGGAGTTACCCACACAGGCGGGAGGGGGAGTTCCTGCCCCTGGAGATGGGCCTGGCGGCAGCCGCTAAAACACCAAACAGCCCCAGTCCCGGCCACTTCCCAGGCCTCAGATGGCTCTCCCCTCTCCGCCTGTGGCAGAGGCTCAGACCTGGGGCATGAGGCCCCAGCACCCTTGGGACCGTCCCTTCATGGGTGGGGGACAGGGCTGTACTCGTGGGTCCCCTGCTCATGTTCTGTTCACCTAGAGGGCAGCTCCTAGGCAGACCTCACCATACCCAGCATGGCGCCTCTGGGCAGGGGGTCCAGGCTCCCACCCTGAACCCGCTACTGGCCCCGGCCCCAGAGCCAGTTGGGCCGTGTCTATATTTGGTAACCCTTGGAGGCTTTGCCTCATCCACAGGCATTTGGCATCCGAGATGGAAAATTTCACTTGTCGGGTCGCCATGGAAACGAGCAGAGCCACTGAGAAGATTTACGCTGAATGGAGCGCGCCCAGCTTGCATCAGATGCCCTGTGTCTAGAATTCCCTCCTAGGCCGTTAGAGCACTCAGCAGGCTGGCGCCTCGCTCCGGCGAAGGGCCTCAGGCGTTTGCCCTTGGGATGGAAGCGGGCAGTCTTGCCTAGCCGGAGCCCCATGCCCTCCACACCGCTGGGCCTGGGCTTCCACCACCCCACCTGGCCTGACCTCTCTGGAAGCTGAGCACGGGGCACCTGCTAGGTTGCCAGCCTCCCTGTGGCCCCGGACACCACTCCGGGATGGCAACTGCTCAGAGCAGCAACACCTAGGCAGTCCCCAGGAGACGGCCTTTGACCTCCTAGTGTCCTGGGGAGCAGAGCGCAGCTATGGAGTTGCCTGCATCCTCACAGCTGAAACACTTCCAGCATCTGAGACTCAGAGGCAGCCCTGACACCACCTGGGGCCTCACTGGCCAGGCCTTTCTGGCGCCTCATGATAGGGTCACCCCGCAGGCACTTAGGGGAAGATGCAGCCGGAAGGGAGGAGGAGGCAGGAAGGGCTGCTTCCCTGTGAATTCCATTCTCTCTGTGGGTACTGGCTGCCTTGGGGGTGCTGGTGGGCTCCCCGGGCCCAGCTGCGGGCCTGCCCTGGGAAGGGTCAGTGCCATCCCAGCTGTGCATGTGGCCTCCTGTCTGAGGATTCAGACCCCCCCACGCTCCCCAGGCCAGTGCAGGACACATTTGGGGGGGAAACTGGGAAAAGGATTTCCTCGAACCTCCCGCAGTCGAGAGTTTTGTTTTTAGTTAGCCAAGGCATCAATTTAGACATGAAAGAAGTGAGATTTTCAAAGAAAAAGTGCTGTCTGATTCTAAATCTGAAGGTTCGTGAACAATCTCTGTGCTTCCTAACAGTAAAGAGTGATTCGAGTCATGGAACAGGGAAGCTTTGAGCCAAGAGGTTGAAGCTCTGGGTGGAAGAGTTGATCAGTTGGTGGAATTTCCATAGGACTAGGCCTGGGCTAGGACTTGGTCCGAACTCTGCCTTGAATTTGCTGTGTGACCTCAGGCAAGCTCCACGCCCCCTCTGGGCTCCTGGCATCTCCATCCGTAAATGCACGTTTGGACTATAAGGGTGTATGAGGCTCTTCCCAGCCTGTGAGGAGCTCAGTTCCCAGCCTTTCTTTGCAAGGAGCTAGGAGGAGAGAGCATGGAGTCGGCCACAGAGCAGTGGGCGAGGAAGGCCTCAGGAGCAGCTGGAGAGGGGGCAGATTGCAGGGCTAGACATACCCTGGAAGGGCCTGAGCACAGTCCCAGCCCTGGGAGGGGCAGGCAGCTGGCAGGCACCATCCAGTTGCCTGACAGACCTGCGAGCCGGGAACAGCTGGGCCGTCGCTACTCCGGGCCCATCCCTCATTCTGTGCTCACCGCCTGGGAGGGCTCGGGACCACAGCCCCTTCAGGCGTCCAGGCCACTCCCCAGGGACTGTCTTCACCGTGAGGGAATCTCTGAAGAAAAAGCTAGTGACAGGTGCAGGGGTGGGGCGGGGACAGGAGAGAGGGCCGGCCTGGGTCTGGAATCCCGGCTCAGCGCTGCTGGCCGTGTGTCCATCACTCCACTTGGGGAAACATACAGAGAACGGAGGGCCTGAACAGCAGCTGTACCCCTTATGGCTGGCAGGACAGGAGCCTTGACCTGGGAGCCCCCACCGTGGAGACTCACCCCTTCCCACTCCCAAAACTCAGGCCAGGAGGCCCAGAACACAGGGTGCATCTGTGCACGTCACCCCAAGTTTGCCAACATCTCCCTTAAAACCTGATCCTGGCCTGTCCCCTGGACTCACAGCTTTGGCCTGCTAGGAGTATCACAGAGCAGCACTCAAACCCGAGCACGGCAGTGGCCTTCCTGTGGCCTCATGTCTCCAGGCCTGCACAACCCTCCCCCATCCAGCCTATGTGGGCCAGGTGGCTTCTGGCCTCGCTGTGGAGTTAGGGCTTCAAGCTCCAGAGTGCCCCTCAGTCTCAGCTGCCCTCCGGGGGCAGTGGCACCTGGGCCTGGGGTTACTGTGCCAGGGAGAGTTAAAGCAGCTGTCGGAACCCACAATCTGCCCCCATAGCCAGACCCACCCGGCTGGTTAACTGGTGCTGACGGAACCCCAGCCTCAGGGACTCGGGGCCCAGAAGACCAGCCACGTGGCCACTGTCTACAATGCCCTCACAGGAAGGTGGGAGGGGAACAGGTGTGGGCAGAGGCCAGATAGGGGTGCAGGAGGCTACCTCGGGGGCTCAGCGGGTATCTCAAGTGCAGGAACGATCCCCACCCTGGTGCTGCCCTAGCAGCCCGACAGGCCATCAGAGGTACCTGGGGTCTGGCCATTGGCCTTCTGTGCTGGGCCGAGCTCCCTGGGGAGGGTTCCCTTGGCGGGAGCTTCATTGTGTTTCCCCAGAAATAGACGGAGCAGCCAGTGTGCACCAGGACTGTGGCTGCTGGGCCCTAGCGGGCCCCACCCAGACAGGCAGAGTTGTAGCCGTGGCAACCGCCCATCACATACCCTGGCCGGGCCTGGGCACAGGCTCCGTTTTCACATCGGTTGTTGAAGAAATCCTCATACCCACTCCATGGGGTGGCTCCTGTGGCAGCCCCCACTTTCCAGAGGAGAAAACTGGGTCACACGGTTAGGAAGTGCCCATGTTCTGGTCAGGGCCTGGCCTGGCCTGGCTGGCTCCCGTGCTCAGCTGCCTGCAGCCCCTGTACTGGGGCCTGTTCAGGAATTCAAAGGGCCGGAATCTCTGCTGTGATAAGCAACCCCGTTCTTTTTTTTTGGAGAGGTTTTTGCTATAGGGCGCATGCACTCACCAGAGAGACAGAGAGATAGAAAGCGAGAAATCACCCCCCGGCGGTGGGGGGAATGGCCACGCCGCAATCCCTTCTCCTCCATTATCCTCTCAGGAGCTTGGGCACACATGCATACGTGCCTAGCGTGAGTTTTAAGCCACTGGGTCCAGGACACAAACCTCGATCAACTACATGGGAGTCCTGCGAGATAGCCATTACACTAACTGCTGGTCCCAATAAGCATCCCCGTTCTTGATGAGACCCTTTACCCAGGACCACCAGGCCGTGGGCTGGAGGCAGAGTTGCCAGCTCACACAGACCTGCTTCTCCAAGTCAGCGAGGCCAGACCGAGGGAGGAGCACAGCACTGCGTGAGACTGAGGGACAATGGGCCAGAGTGGGACAGGACCACCTGGGAGCTGGTCCTGGCAAGCTAGCCCCAGGGGCAAGCTAAGCTCTCTGGACTATGGGGACAGCGGGGCCGCTACGTTAGTTACAGGTACAGCACACACAGTGAGGTTGCACAGAACACGGCCTGAGCAGGGCAGCAGGGAAAGGGGTCGTCTCAGGAACAAAGGAGCTGCCCGCCTGTCCAGTGGTGAGACCAGCTCTTCCTCCTCAAGAACAGAGACAGAGTGACTGCAGTCTGCCCCGGGGCCACAGCACACAAACACAAATGTCTTGCCAAGTTGAGAGCCCAGCAGCCTCCAGTGATTCCTTCTGGCCCCAGCACTAGCCCTGCCCCAGAGAAAGGGCCAGGCTGCCTCCTCCCCCTTCTCCCTGGACCCCATTCCAGGCCCCAGCTGGCTTCCTGGCTGGCTGCTAGCCTTGGCTTTCACCCCAAAGGGAGCCACTCATAAACAGGAAATGCTTCCCGATGCGATGCCTGCTCCGGGCGCCATGGCCAGCCACAGGCTGAGGGCGATTTCCAAGCAGCGCTGTGGCCGTTCCCACCAACCGCGGGATGGGGACACTGAGGGGCCTCCCCAGCTCTGGGACTGGCCGCTGGGGAAGTGTTGCTAGTCATGAGGTGGACTGAGCCCCACTGGTTGTGACTGCCTCTGTTCTCCCTGCCACCGGCAGCCTCCAGGTGCCCTAGAACACTGACTAGAACCCTGTCCCCTCTTCCAGAGACAGCCTGCAGGCAGCCCCCAGGGCCCAGAAGGCCGACGCCCCCAGCATCGACTATGTGGAGCTGCTGCAGCACTTTGACAGGGTCCAGAGCAAGCACCTGGAAGTGAGGCACCAGCGGAGCGGGCGTGGGGACCACCTGGACCGGAGGGTCATCCTCTGACAGGCCTGGCATGGAGATGGGCCCAGCAAGCGGCCCATGAAGCACTCAGGGTCTTCAGGCGCCCTTCCAAGGACCTGCTCCTCGGGGGAAGGATGGGTTGGGGGGACAGGTTGCTCTCCCAACCAGCCTCTCCTCACAGCCCAGCCCCCACGCCCTGGGCCCCCAGCACTGTCACCTGCATCCTGGCGTTCAGACAGCTGGCTTCCCACCAGGGCAGGGCCACCACCTCAGATGCTCCCCATTTTCTGGACTTCATCTCTTTCTAATACTCTCTCAGAAAAAGAGTTTGACCTCACAACCCTGGAGCTCTGGCCTGTGTGTGTGTGCATACAGGGGTGGACACGTGTGTATGTATGTGTATCCTTGCGTGCACACAGGGACCAACGCAGAGAGCTTGACTGAATCATGCACCCCTCACCCCACCCCACCCTAATAAAGAAATGACAGGAAACCCTCAACTCGGGCCTGCCTGCTCCTTCCCATGGCTCCTGTACCCCTGCCTGGCGCTGCAGCTGCCCGGGCCTTTCCTTCCTGCCTGGGGACCACAGTGCTGGTCACTTCATGAGGGCCTGGGGCCTGCACACTCACCTGGCCCGGGGCCCTGCTTGACCTCAGACTCACCCTTTCTTCCTCCAGAGGGCCAGGCCCTGGCTTGCCCGGGAACAGCGCCCCAGCCCTAACCTTACTTTCGGGTCTTCATTTCCCTGGGGCAATGGGACCTGAGCGACTGGGGGCTGAGCCTCTGGCTTCTGGATGAAAGGGACAAGCAGTGCAGATCACCAGGAAGGCCAGACGAGGCCAGGGTTCGCCTGTCCCCAGCTCAGGGAAGTCACAGCCTGACCCAATCTCCCAGGTGGCTCCCAGGTGCCTGGAGTTGGGGAGGAGCTTGTGGCTGCTTTTCTCCAGAGCCGGCATGGGCGGCCCTCAAGGTGGGTTTTCCTGCCTGGAGTCTCCAGGACGACTGGCCATGCTGGCCTCGCCCACGTGCGTACGTCCCCACACACGTGTGAGCAGGCCTCGGGGACAGTCAGCCGTCCCGGCCTTCACCACAAGGAAGGAGGTTGCCCGAAGGCCAGGAGACAAGACACCACCCTCCAGACGGCGGGTCTCGGCTCCGCACCTGGGCGGCATCAGCCCCCCTCGGAGAGGGAGCCGAAGAATGCGGGAGCGAGGTCCGCGCCTGCGAGGAAGTGCCCTAAGGCAGGAGGCCCCGCTGACACCCTGCGCCCCTGCGCAGTGCTGCGTATCCCTCCGGAGGGAGGGACCAGCACCCCATCCCGCCGCCGTGCAAGGGTGCTACCCGCTGTCCGTCTGAAAGCGCGGGAAGTCCCAAGCCCTAAAGCTGGAAGGTGTAATGGAGCCCCTTTCCGGGGGGCCGGGACCCAACCACCCATCCCACTCCCGCAGGGAGCTGGGCGGGCCCCG